AATGCTAATGCTAATCAGAACTAATTCAAAAGTTAAGTCAGTAGAACCATTTTCCAAGCAAATTCCTTAGGATCATACCTTGCATCTGCTACCACGTTATATCCAGAGCCTTGGTGGCGCAGCAGACTAAAGTGCTGTTAAGTAACACCACCTGCCTGCAATTACTGCAAATTCAAATCTCACCACGCTCAAGATTGACTCAGCCTTCCATCCTTTCGAGGTAGGTAAAATGAGGACCTGGATTGTGGGGGCAATAAACTGACTTTGTATAAAAAAGAACACTGCTTGGGGGGCCCGAAAGCCCTACTAAAAAGCCCTACTAAAAAGTATGAAGGTTATTGCTTAATGCATTGTAAGCCGCCCTGAGTCTCCGGAGAAGGGTGGCATATAAATCAAACCAATAAATAAATAAATAAATAAATATCTGATGTCCAGTTCAGCCTTCGAGTTTTTGTTGTTTTAAAGGCCTTTGTGAATCAGTAATTTTTCGATGGACAAATCAAGTAGTTGTATGTTCTATAGGTCTTTTGTCTAATTAATGTTTTTCCCCCCTTTTTAGCTATGTCATGAATACGAATGACTGAAAGAAGAGATTACCACATGTACCACAACTTGAAACTAGTTGGCATAAATATTTAAAAGAATTAACAAAATGAGCACAACTGCTGCAAAATTACCATATAAAATGGCATATTGTGTCCTTTGAACTATGTATGGTTGTTGCCAAGAGTATGTGCACAATGCGGAAGCTCTGAAAAGGAGAAAGAGGCTTAACTGCTCGGGGTGCCAGCTCTGCCCATTTATGGTCATCATGGACTAATACCAAACCTGACTGGCTTCTCACCTGAATCCCTGTTCCGTGACTTAAGCTTGAGATCTTACAGAGGCATTATATGTTCATTTCAAGGAAAGAGCATTCTCGCCCTCACCCTTATCCTACCGCCGAGAGATGTGTTGCAAGCCAACTACAGTATAAAATATCCTTTCAATTGATTTTACTTTGTTATATCAACTTCCAAAGAGCACAACACAATGCAGAGAAATTAAGAGACTCTCTAGCTCTCTCTGCATAGTGCATATTTATAGACTGCATTGTAACATATATACAGAATGGCAGTTCAAGACCCTTCTAAGACCCTTGGATGTGCATGTATGGAATTGGTGTCAATACTGGATATGGAAAAAAATATAATGTGACTGAAAAAGGAAAGGCTGGAAATTGAGAAAAGCCCAATTTTATTTATTTATTTATTTATTTATTTATTTATTTATTTATTTATTTATTTATTTATGTATGTAATTTATGTGCCACCCTTCTCCCGAAGGACTCAGGATGGCTTACAAAGAAAACATTCAACAATTTGAAAATTACATAAAAATTAAAATCCAATTAAAATTTATTAAAATGATTTCAATGTAAAAATCCCCCAACGGATCAGCCCATTTGATAAAAAAAGCCACATCTTCAGTTTGCGGCAGAAGGAGAGGAGGTCGGGGGCTTTCCTAAGCCCGGTGGGCAAACTGTTCCAGAGGGTCAGCGCTCCCACAGAGAACACTCTCCCCCTGGGGGCCCGTTCTGTGGGAGATTTGGAGATTTGGTGTGTTTGGGCTCATAGAGTTTTGTGAACAAAGTCGATTGAAGCTACTATGGTTATTAAAACTATATATGTAAATATATGTGAACAGGAAAGGGTTCTCTAGTAAGATATCCAAGATTTAATAGAATAAAATAAATATAGTGAAATGATGAAGGGATTGACGGAAAATAATTAAAGCTAGAAAACTACTACCATGAACTTTCTAGGGAAGTTTTAAAAGTGAACAGAAAAGTGGACATTTCTTTCCAAAATATCAAGAAAGAGGTTAGCATATGTAGAAGCTTATAAAGACAACCATCCAAAACCATTGACCTTATAGGACAGTGTTTCTCAACTTCAACAACTTTAAGAAGTATGAACTCAAACTTCCAGAATTTCCCAGCCAGGAGCCAGTTTGAGGTCGTGATGGCGAACCTATGGCACATTTGCCAGAGGTGGCACGCAGTACCCTCTTTGTGGGCACATGAGCCATCACCCTAGTTCAGCTGGTCTTTGAGTCTCTGCTGCACATGCAAGGGGGCAGGGCACATGCGGGGGCACGTGTACATGTATGGGGGGGCATATGTGAGGGAGCATGTGCATGCATTGCATTTGGGAGGTTCGGGCACACATGCGTGCAGTCACACGTGCGTGCATTCGCGCGTGCGTGCATTCTCGCGTGCATGCCAGGGATGGGTTTTACTTACCTTTACTATCGGTTTGCAATGGGATCGCACATTGATGACATCTGGGGCAATGGGCGGGGCCTCCTGCTGCTATTACTACCGGTTCTTGCGAACCGGTCCGAACCGGGGGCAACCCACCACTGGTGCACGCACGTGCTCTTTGGGCATTCAGTCGGGAAAAGGTTAGCCATCACTGGGTTAAGGCATCAGCCTAGAAACTGGGAGAAGGTAAATTCTAGTCCCATCTTGGGCCCAAAGTCATCTGGGTGACTTTGGGCCAGGCACTTTCTCTCAGCCCTTGGAAGGCGGCTTTTGGAAAAACCTTTCTAAGAAAACTGCAGGGACTTCTCCAGAGTCTCCAAGATTCAAACATGACTGAATGAAAGAAGAAGAAAAAAAGGAAGGACATACAAGCTTAATTTAATCCTGACAAGACAGGGGCTCTTCTAGTCTAGGGGTGTCAAAGTCATGGCATCAAGTTGTCATCACATGACGTATCGCAACTTTTCTCCCCTTTGCTAAACCAGGGGTGGGCATGGCCAGCTTTTGATGCATCTGGCCCATGGGCCGCTAGTTTGACACCCCTGTTCTAGTCAATTGGACAACAGATCTAGGGTTAGACCTTGAAAATATTGACTCTTGCACATTCAGGGTTAAAGTTTAGGTAAATTTCTATATTAGCTTTAAATCTGGGTACCTAGGCTTTTTTAGTGTGGTCAGGAACACTTTAGAGTATTAAGGGAAGAATGCAAGCTATATCATTTCTTTCCATTTCAGCTTTGCTTACATTAAAACATGCTGAAATTACATCCTATTTGGATTACCATAGTATACTCCACTCTCAAAACATATTCATAATCTTCCATTTGTTCAATATCTGTTAGTCAAACTATAGACCAAAGTTGGGTTATACAGAACACAGGTAATTCCCAGGTTAATCTGTTTATTTGGCTATCAACATCTGGGAATAATCCAGATTTAAAAGCTACCACAGTTTTAAAATTAGAGGCAAGCTATACCCTTTACTTCAAGCAGAGTCATGCCTAGTAGCAGTTCTACATACTCCTTCAGGCAGCTCAGTCAGTTAATATACAGCAGCAAAGGAATGGGAGGGAAGTACTTCATGATACCGTTAAGTCAAGGAAAAGACTCAAGGGAAACACAGATCATATTTTTTAAGGATATCAGGCATTGAGATTACTAAGAAGTCAAGTTCCTAGAAGATGTTAGAAAATTCATTCTTTTGGTGAGAGAAGTTTAACAGTGGAACCAATTATCAAAAGAAGTAGGAAACTCCCATACCTTGAAATTGCTCAAAAAGAAATTTTTGTGCTTTAAACAGATCTTGCACTGAGAAAGCTATTGGAATTGATGGGATGAATACCCTCTTCCAGGTTTATGAGTCTAAGACTAGAAGCTGCAGAACAAAAGTTATTTTAGCAACTAGTTTAATGAATGTGAAAGCTTTCAACCAGAGGTCCTAGAGCTCTGGCCATGGGCTCAGGAAGACATTAATAAAGTTCCTACTCATGAGAATGGTTTGGTTCTGAAGACAGTCTTTACTCGCAATTACTTTGTTTTGAAAGGCCAACAGTGGCATTTATGGGGGAGTCTCAAAAAATCAAGATAATGGCCACAATTGTGCAACATTTTATAGGGCAACTTTTATTCTCTTTTATATCTGTCACATTTTTTAAAAAAGGATGTAGCTCCAATTGCATAGCTGTAGGTGTCATTTTGACTATTTTATCCATGGAAGCAAGTGGACCAGCAATTCCCAAAAATATAATTTGTAGAAAATGCTGACTGGATTATAACATGCTAGGCCCGTGATGGCGAACCTATGGCATGGGTACCACAGGTGGCACACGGAGCCATATCTGTGGGCACACGAACGTTGGTCTACCTCAGTCCAGCACGCA